AAAAAAAGTTATCAATTTTTGCCCTATTTTCTTATAAATTTCAGGTAGTTTGGGCCTCATTCGAATTTTGGGTTTGGATTTAGGATCACTTAGGTTCGTTCATGAATGTTGTGTGACTTGTGGAAAATGAAAACGTTGTGTGAATGGATACTGGGAAAAGAATAATAGGATCACTAGTAAAATAATAATGGATTAAAAAAAGATAGGAAGAGTGAAAATGACAATTTCAAGCTCAATTAATAAAGATTTCTCAACTTATTTATATAATAGAATAATTAAATATTTAAGGCAATGATTTGGGGTAAAAATTTGTGAAAACAAAATCTTCTGAAGAAAAATTGATATGTCGGAAAAAGATACATACTATTAATCAACAAAAAATGAAGAAGAAACATACTTACTATTAGTTACCCAAAAAAAAAAAATTCCATACTTCCAACTCACGAAACTTGAATTTGACTAATATTTCTCATTATTTTTGTAGCAAATTGCAAGTGGTTTAAAATGTGTTGTTTAACCATAAATTTTGTTTAGATTACATTATCAAAATATACTTCAAGACATGTTTTTGACAGGGAGGGTTTGTCATGATCCGAGGGACCTAATTGTCTTAGGGACTCGATTGGGATTTATATAAATATCGGAACTATAAATAGTAGAACTGGGGCTGAAAAACATTAACGAAAATATTGATATTAAAGTTGTGTTTTCTGAAATTGTGTGAATTCTTCTCCAATTCGGGTGTGACGAACCCTAAACCGTCGATCTTCCACCTCCAGTTTGCTGGAATCCTTTCATTTCTTGGTCACTGCCTTCCGGTAGCTGACACTTGCGTCAATTGCTTCCGTGTGCATGGGTGGACTTATGGACTGATTCGACAGTATATCCGGAGGATGTACCCGTGTGTGTACTGCCTTGTTGACTGACCCAGTAGTATATCATGTGAATTATGTTGTGTTGTGCAACCCCAATGGGCTAAATACCCCATTGGGCTTGAGGGAGGGTGTTGAGATAATGAATCCCACATCGGTGTCGTGAAAGATCTGTCACCTGTTTATAAATGCTAAAGGCCACCCAACTCATTGACAATTGGTTTTGAGATGAGAGCCCAATATGACTTCGACAGAATTAGACTAATATTCCTCATTATTGGTGTGGCAAATTGCAAGTGGAACTAGGACTGTCAGTTAACCGGGTGGTCCCGAAAATCCGCCCGAACCGAGCCCATTTCGGGGCAAACGGTTCGATTAATCAGGTGAATGGAGGTTTGCGGGTCTACCCGATTAACCATATAACTTATTTGGTTCGGGTGCGGGAGGAAAAAAAATTAGTTCGGGCAACGCCCGAAAACACGAATTATTAATTTCTTTTTAACCTATATAAATTTTTTTAAAAAAAATATTACTAAAAGTCTAAACCCTACCAAATATCTCCATTCTTCCAATTATCCTCTTCTTTCTTCGTTGAGTTGTTAATCGCCGCACACCATCCACCTCCTCCAAAATCCCTACCTCTTCTTATTCTCTCTCCTTCAAATTTTTACCTCCTCCAGATTTCTTTAATTCTTTTCTTCGCCTATTATCTTTCCCCCAAATCATCAAATTGGCTTCAACCCTTCCATAATCTGACAACACACTATCGGTGCTTTATTCTCCTGGCAAGAAAGCTCCACCTCGGCGTGCGGTCGGCTGCCCTTTATAATGAATCAAATTCCAAGAACTTCGCCGGAAGCATCCTGCTAATGGTGATAGATCCATCAGCATCGTTTAGTCTCTCGATCCTCCTCCCTTCTTTGTTCAATTCGAATTGAATTTGAACTTTGGAGGCTAAAATTGTTGTGGGTTTGCTGAAAATCATTGTTTTTTAATCTCAAGCATGAGTTTTCATATCTTTGAATCTCTGATTTGTGACTTTTTTGGGTTCTTGTTGAATCAACATGGGACGCTTGTGAATTTGGGAGGATGATACTAACAATACTAAATCTGGGCTAGATATAGGGGGAAAAAATTGTCATCTTCTAGTTCTTGTAGATAGATTCGGTTATCCAAAATTCCGAACCCCAATAACCCGAACTCTTAATCGGTCGGTTCGGTTCGGTGTTATGTAGTTTGCAGTTCGATTTCGGGCGGATTTCGTGAGAGAAAAAAATCGATTAACCTGAATCTCATTTCATTCGAACCGTCCGAACTGACAGCCTAAGTGGAACAACTTCCATTCAAGGAAATATCCAACGTCTCAATAACTAGTCTAGTAAGGAGTAACTTCATTCTTGATTCTGTTCTTGTGTTCTGTGGTCCACCGGATCACAAAATGCGTACTACTTGTAACTTCTCTTCTAATTGGATTGCTAAACTTGTAGCGGCCGGATTAGTGATTATGGTATTTTCCGATAACCTCCTATAAAAAATGGTAAAAACAATTGCAGAGTTTGGTTTTTATGGTTAAACTGCTTAATGATGAGACCTTCTGCCAATTGTGATGGGACTATATTGATATGTCCATAATTTTAATTAAAAAGCGATTAGTCACGGATTGTTGACTATATAAACATTAATTATAAGATATTCAGAAGGAAAGAAAAATGTTCATTCATGTGGGCAGGACTTGGTTATACTATTACTTATCTCAATGTAAATCTTTCCACTCAATTCTATAATTCATTATAGATTTCTCAAGACTCAAGAGGATACATCGTACTGTGGTAGCAAAAAATTATTCCATGGAGCGGGGGTACCACCTCAGCACTTATGATGTGATGCAGCAACCCAATCCTAAATGATATTTATAATTTTTAATACAGATGATAAATATTTTATTTCTTAATTTTTTTTAACCATCCCAAACTATTTAATCTCATCTACATCTCCACAAATCACTCCGCCGCTGCTCCTTGCTATCATCGATGACAAAAGGGATGCCGCCGCTACTTCTTAACCATCATCGATCCGGAAGAGAAGCAATTGCAGGGACGATCTATCAAAAAATAAGGAGGGTCAAATAAATTCACAAATTTTATATTTTTATTTGGATGAACCATCGTCTCTTTTCTAATTATGCATCTATATATTTTAGGGTTCTTCGATTCAGAATTCTTCATTATGTTTTATGCGGATTTCATTTTCAGATATCAACAGAAACTCTCAATGTAATCAAGGTCCAATATGCTTTAAAATCATATTTTCCCCCTCTGAATATGTCATCTGGAGTTTTTGTTTCTTTTGATGCAACCAAAGAAAAAAATTTCTCTTTAACCACCTTCGTCCTTATATACTTCAAGGGATTTAACCACCCGTACTAGAAAGAAAACATTCATATTCTTCATCCCTTGATCATATCTCATCTCCTTCTCCTTTTGTTAAAATCCAATATACCCTTTCGTCCTTTGAATACACTAGCAATTTCCCAAAGACTTGGCATATTATTATCAGTTTTATAACTTTCATCACCATGCTTTCAGTTTGTATTTTGGTACTGAAGGTAAAAGCAGTGGCAGGCTGAATCGTAGCAAATTTTCATGGCGTCGAAATTGATAATTTTCGTTTTTTCGGTTTTTAAGCTGCAGTTAAAGGCTTAAGCAAAATCATAATTAAATCTATTATGTTTATCTTAAAAATTACACATGTCAGGTAGGGATTGGGTTGTTGCACCACATCATAAGTGCTGACGTGGATCAAGCGGAACTGCAAGGGGTTTTGTCCCCTATTAATGAGGCTGAAAGTTAGAATTCCGAAAGAAATGCATTAGCAGTTTAGCACGTTTCTTTTTGTTTTTCGGTTTTCTTTTTAACATTTTTTTTAGTTAAATATTCCTTTCAGTATTTATTATAAGTCATTTTGATTCTTTTCAGAAAAAAAAAAGTCATTTTGATTTATTTCTGAATTTTATTTAATATGTTTCTTTTTCAATTGAAAATAAAATATCGAATTTTTTTTTAATAATTATAAAAACACAGTAAATGTGAAAATATATTTTTTAAAGTTTTATATTCAATAATCAGAAAAACATACTAGATGAAGTTGATGTCTAATTAAAATACCTTATACCTTATAATAACGACCGGAGGATAAGCTCTGTAAGAGACTGAGGTTTTATTCTTATGCAGCTTCATAAACCTCTGGAAAACCATAAACACCATATGCAACTGTGTTCTGACAAGAATCCTGAGTTTGCACCTATGTGGATTATATAAGGTAGAAGCCGTTTAATTAATCATGCGAAGATTAGCATCATATTCAAAGGTTTAACGGCAAATTGAAGCGCACAGAATTGGTGTTGGATCTTGATATAGGATCAACGTTTGGACTGCATAATGTAACTAAGTCGCATGTTTAATAGTATTCCACCATTTGCAATCATTACTAATCGGGTATGTAATCATGTCCTCACAAGATTATAAACACAACCTGAACTTCATAATCGAACCCGCAAAGTATTCAAGAAGATGAGTTTTTAAACCAAACTGACACAGCAAACAGATTAAGTTTCATGAATTGCTTTTATGTCCTTTGTGTCATTTTTGGTGTGTGCATAACACTCATTTTTCATTATTTGATCGTATAGGCCAATTCAGTAGGTTTTTATAAAACAACTATTGCTGATCTTTCAATATTAATTTGTTCGCTATCATGCCGGCCGTGTTAAAGGTTATCGTAATAATTATAAGGCAAATGACGACAGGCCATTAATTTTATTAACTAAACTCAAATTTTGTCTTTGGGTATAGGTAGCCGTAGCCGGTAGGAAGCCAAATTGTTTTGATCAACCAATTGGTGATACCAAATTATTAAGAAATAAAACTTGACATGATTGCACAATATCTTATGTTCTGCGAAGTAGGTAGACCGTGGATGCATTATTAACAATCTTTATTCTTAAAAGAAAAGCAATTATGTAATTCACGACCACGACTTGTGCATTACAATAATCTTGCAAACGTGATCTTGCTTCTTGGATACTTGCTTCTTCGTTTCATTTTTTTGTTTTTTTTTTTGTGTTTTGTTGAAAAGATTGTTCAATAGTGCATTTTATTGCTCTGCAGAAACAAAGGGATAGTTTGCAGTCAAGTCAAATTTTCTATCCTAATAATTTGTTCTTACTCATCTTGGAGAATCAGATCAAGTTGACTAGTGGGTTGCTTGAAAGTACCAGTTAATGTATCTGAGTTGTTGAGGAAGATTAGATCTAGCTACGATGGAAGATGTTGCTCAATCTTCCGGGAATATCAGGCAACCGAATCTGTTGAAAAGGCATCTGGCGGAGGTGATTTGCAGGAGGATGCCGCTGAGAACGATTTCTCTGTGGGGGAGGAAGTGGGGGAAAGATGCGCGCTGTGAGTCTGCCTTCCTTACCATTGACAAGGCTATGGGGAAGATATTTTCGGTTTTCACGCCTTTTTGTTCGGCGGATGGTACCGATCATGAGGAAATACTGGAAAAAATTGCTTCAGTACTGGACCTGGATCTTGTTTGGTGGGACGAAGATGATGAGATTATATGGGAAAAACTTGTTCCTCTAGTCCAGCCTGGTTGTGCTTGGGGGACATGCGGTACTGATGATAATGGTCAGAAAACATTGGACAAGTCGACAGTACTGAAGTTAGATGATTTCCACCAGGCGATCACTGAAACCCTGGACGGGATTCGGGGGCAATCATTCCGGCAAGAAATCGAGCAGCTTTTCCGAATACTGTCAGGTGGTTCGCTGCAAATTACTTGCTCTTATGAGGATCTCGAACTTCTTAAGGATATGATTGATTCCCTCTCTCACAATTGGCTACTACTTGAGAAAACAAGCGCGTCGCATGCTGGAGCAGTGGTGAGTTCAGGAATCTCTGGTTGCTTCTCCTGGGATTGTTTCAATGCAAAAGCAAGATTCTTGATGAACTTGCTGATTTTTGCCATATACAGAGGAGTCGAGCGAGGGCTGATGGAATCATTGTTGACTCACATTCAAGGCTTTGCTGTCGATGCTGCGCGTTCCATATTCATGTTTAGTTGCGACCAAGATTTTCAGGTTATTGCCGAACTTGGAAGTAAACCCCTGGTTTGTGGAATGTATGTAAAAGTCTTGCAAGCTTCAAAATTGACGCTCTCACCCCTGAATTCAACTCCAGCCCTTAATAGACTTGCCTTGCGGGAGTTGGTTGATTCTCTTCTCTCTCTTCTTTGGCAGCTATTGCCCTTCAATGATCTCCATGTGCGCTTCGTCAACCCGGCACAGCGCGCCTTCTCTTCCTTTTTGCCCTCCAACGATTTATCATCGTTTTATGCTTCATTCCTCAAAAATATACAGAAGGCAATAGTACCCTCCGTTTACAGGCTTACAGAAATCTTTCACCATCAAATGCAGAAACTCTACGGGGGACTGACTTTCTTGAAAGCTATTCTGGATCAGCAAGGAAATGATCAGTTTGATGAGCTGTATAATAAAAAGCAAGGTCTCATCAGATCTGCGACTTGTGAGGCTGGAATCATTATCTTCTACCTTTTTGAAGGAAACCAAGAAGGAGGGTCGTCGGTGAAAAAATTAGAGGCTCTCTTTTCAAAGTTGGAGAAAAGCTTTGAACTGATCCGGGAACTAGCAACACAGATACACCCACTTCCACTATTGTCAGCAGCACCCTTTCCTCAGACCAACCTCTCGGGTTGTATTCATTCGGTATTGCAGAAAATGAAGTCAATCAGTGAAGATAAGTTTCAAACTGTCCAAGATGATGTTACGTTTGTAACATCTTTTCTTGAGTATGTTGTGCAGCAATTTAACCAAAATGAGAAGCTCCAAGCTCTCCAGAGTCGCATTGCTGCCGTAGCATATGAGACTGAGTTTTTCCTGGATTCTTTAGTGATTGGAGAAGCTCTTCAGAGTCTTGTTGTGATACTTGATGCAATCACACAAGAGATCAAGCTCATTAAGGCTGAGGTTGAGGCCTCACAGACATTTCATGCTCAGAAGCAAATCACCCGAGTTGGTAAAACTTCCAGCAGGATGCGACCGGCAGGTGATCATGTCCCGCTCCTCAATGAGGTTTCAGTGGGTTTGAAAGATGAGACACAAACTATAATCTATCGACTCAAAAGAGGAGTGAGTAACAAACTGGACATTGTTTCCATTGTGGGTATGCCCGGAATAGGCAAAACAAACATGGCTATGAAGGTTTATGGTGATTCCTCCATTTCCTATCACTTCCATGTTCGTTCGTGGTCTCGTGTTTCTCAGGTATTCAACAAGAAAAGTGTACTACTTGAGATTCTGAGTTGCCTTCCGGAAAAGCATGTCCATCATTCAGAAAAGAGTGAAGATGATTTGGCTCTAGATCTCTACCGAAGTTTAAAGGGAAAAAGGTATCTCATTATATTGGATGATGTGTGGGATGTTGCAGTGTGGGATAGCTTGAGAATTGTTTTCCCGGATGATTCAAATGGAAGCAGAATCCTCTTGACAAGTAGACATGCTGACGTGGCTTTGAAAATTAAACCAGATAGCCAGCCTCTCCGTCTTCGTCTGCTAAGTGATGATGAAAGTTGGGAACTAATGCAGAAGAACACATGTTTTGGAGAAGGTTGTCATCCAGAACTACTTAAACGCGGGATGGCAATAACAAAACATTGCAGGGGGTTGCCGCTAATGATTTTGATAGTCGGTGGACTTCTTTCAAATATAGAGCCAGATACTTGGGAGGAAGTCGAACAGAATTTGGAGAAAGGTACTCTATCACTTACAGAACAATGCCGGGAGACTTTGGAGTTAAGCTATCAACATCTGCCTGAGCATTTGAAGCAATGTTTCCTTTACTTTAGAGCGTTCCAAAAGGACCAAATCCTGGTCCGAAAAGTGTTATGGTTATGGATGGGTGAAGGATTCGTCGTTAAGCAAACTGAAAGTCAATGCTTAGAGGATGTTGCCAGGAGCTACATGATGGAATTAATCCAAAGAAATTTAGTGATGGTTGGAAAGAAAGGATCCAGAGGTAGGGTCAAATCTTGCATCCTTCATGATATATTGTATGACTTTTGCTTGGAAAAGTGCATTGAAGCACATTTTATGCACTGCCCGCGCATGAATGATTCAGGTACTTCCATTAAGCCAAACATATTATTATATCGGCTGTGTCTTCACTCCTGGAGGGGAGAAGGTTTTGCGTGGTCAAGGTTACGCACTCTGCTCGTTAATGATCACGGTAGATGCCATCCAAAACACTGGTACGATATGTTGCACCAGTTTTGGCAGTCGAAACTTTTAAGAGTTTTGGACCTTAGAACAATCAACATTGGCCACTTCTTTCTCACCGGAATAGAATTGCTTCTTCACTTAAGGTACCTGGCTTTGAAGATTGAAGGTGAAGCTATTATCATTCCACCATCAATTGCTAATCTCTCAAATTTGGAGACTTTTATTTTTGATTCAGTAAATTTCAATTTATCACTACCAGATACTATATGGACTATGAAAAATTTAAGGCATCTGCACTTGACTGGATTTGCTCATCTGAAGTTACCGGAAGAGAATCCTGAATACGCCTCCAATTTGGAGAATTTAGAAACTCTTTCAACTGTACAATTTTCTAGTGTCCAGAAAATGAATGAGGCGCTGAGGAAGTTCCCCAAGGTCCGCAGATTTAAATGCAGCCTCCTTAAGGTAGGAGACATTGAAGAATGCACGATTCTAGCACTAGACGCAATGAACCAACTTGAATCACTCACCATCTTTCCAACTCGCTCATCAGATTTTCAGGATAGGATGCTTGAATCACCAATTCCAGGATTTCGGGATTATTTGAACTTTCAGTTTCCGCAGAATCTGAAAAAGCTAGCTATATCAGGCTTTCAACTTCCGTGGAGTAGAATTTCCGCAATTGATGGACTGCCTCATCTCGAGGTCCTCAAGCTACTAAGCCATGCCTTTTCAGGGGAAGAGTGGTATGTAGAAGAAGGAAAATTCCCCAAACTTAGATATCTGAAATTGTCAGGCTTGGATTTAGCCAGGTGGATATCCCCGGAGGATGACAGTTTTCCCTGTCTCGAGAAATTAGTAATGGAAAGATGCCGATGGTTGGCCGAAGTCCCGACCTGCTTAGCCAATGTTTTAACTCTTCAATCGATTGAGGTAACTGGCTGTGAATCTGTCGCCGGTGCAATCGAGGAAATCAAGGAAATGCAGATGGATACGGGAAATGATGATCTGAAGGTCCTCATCAAACCTTCACTGGAGGATGAAAATCCTACCACATCATTTTCAGATTTTATTGAAGGTTAGTCCAAGAATTTTCTCGTAAAGTTAAGATACTCCGCTTTGAGGTGAAGGAAAATTTAGATTATAAATTCTGGATTAGTATATGATAAGTAAACTGTACAAACTAATCAGCTTCCAGCTTTTCCATTGACTTTTAGAGCTCCAAGAGTCCAGGGTATTGTTGATGTCTAAACTGGCAGTCTTTTTCTTTCCTTGTGTGTTTTGGCTCTAATGGTCTAAGAGTACAGCAGTAATGTCTATAAACTTAAAAAGCCTTTTTTATTTGAAACATTTGCTGTTGATGAAATGGCTATTAACAAGTCCTATCTAGAACTAGGATGTGGATGCTTACCCTTACTTCGGAATAGATCTGCATATAATACTAGCAGCTTGGGGGTATAGCATGAGAGAATTTTACAGTTGTGTAGTAACTAGTCATGCATCCGTCTTCCCACATTTTCTTTCTCCGCTGTTCTTCAATGATCTTGTTGCTTTTGCAGGGCAGAAAAACTTTTTCCTTCAGTTCGGCAATAAATTCGTGGAAGATATACAGAGAGCCAGAAATAGAAGACAATAAACATCTGAAAGTCAAGTTAGGAGGAGGATGAACAGCAAGGTGTTGCAGAAGGTTCTTCTTCTCTCCATTCTCATGGCTTTAACCTTCACCACACTACACCATCCAATTGTCCTCTTTCTCAACAAATCCATCACTTTTTGTTTGTTTATCTCTTGGGGAGCTTTTCAAGTATCATTAACTGTGTCTGTTTCGTTAATCTTCTTTACAATGTTTTGGAAAGAAAATTGAACTATATCATCAGCCTTCAGCCAGACTATGGCGTAACCCTATTGTACTATATTGTTGTTGTAACCTGTTTCTTACCAATTCTGTAAATTGAGTGCTTGATTCAATCAGCTTGATCTATTCCCATTTTCCACGCTGAGGAATTACTAGCCTTAATCGCTAGGTAACTGATTCATCAGTAGACATCTACATAATTCGACTCCTTAAGTGCATTCTTGTTTACTGCATAATCTTTAAGTCTCTCCTACATATTCTGAGTAGAAACTTTTTGAACCCTAGTTTTTACGACAACAATTCGATTTCGGCCTAATGTGAGTTTAATGGTTACAAATATTTACTCTCTTGAATTTGAAAGACAAGCATGGAATATCTGTTGTATCATAAGGGATGAAAGAAGAATACCAGTCTTGTTAGTTGGCTCCCCATCCGTCGGAGTCACCAACATCCATCTAGTTAAAACCAAGTAGAAAAATGCAGGAGAGAGTGGGTGAAGTTATTTTTCAGTATTTAAAACCATCTCGGCCAGAGGAAAGGCAAAAGACCACTGAAAATGATGACCACATGGTCACTGAATCAACAGAAACTGAACATTAAGATTCATTACACTGGCATAGTTAATCATTAATCACATCCAACATCACTTGTTAAAGCATAATCCAAGCTTCAGAATAAGACTCATGTAGGAGATGATAAGATTCCGAACAGACATCAAACAGAAAAGAATCGAAAAGGAAGCACTTTGAATTTAATGGAATCTGCTTGCACTTGTTTTTGGCTTAAATCCAGAGCTATTGGGAGGCCAGATAGGGGCACCCTTTTAAGCTTTTTTCACTGAGAAAAGCCAGAAAGGAACTAAAAATGCTTCACACTGAGCATCTTTTCTCGATGAAGGTTAAAAAAAGATCGGTCAGGAAGATTTATTAACACTATCCAGAGCAAATACAACAAAAGTTATGGATCCATATGCAATGATCTACATACTTTAGTGTGACACTGCAAAATCCAAAACCAGCAGCGACAATATTAATCCAGAACAACAAAGTAAGCTTCTTTCTCAGGGATGATGATTCGGTGGAAAAGGAAATGGTAATAAAACCTAAGAAGGATGAACCTTTTTAGAGTTAGAAGAAATGGCCCTGAGGGCAGATTTCATGGAAGCAGTAGCCGAATTAACAGCAGCTTCAATGTACTTCTTGGAAGCAATTGTGGCAGCTTTCTCCATAGATTTCCCCATCTTTCTAGCACCTTCACCTAAACTCACCAAACCATCATATTCAGCTTGAGCAGTCCTGTTCATTTCCTCTTCAAAACGCCGGAATTCTTCCATGGCACTCTCCATCACAGAATCCAGATAATCCTCTGTTTCCTCCATGTAATGCTCTGCTTCCTCCACTTCTTTCTCCTGCTCCAGTTCCATGGCTGCCCATGCCTTGTAAGACTCCAATTCAAACAGCCTCATCAGATCTTCTATGGTGGCCGGATCAAAGTTCTTGTCTTGGAGAGCCTGATCGGATAGAAAGCTGAACTGGGTAATCAAAGCTTCCATTTTTTTTGATTATGGTAGATCTTCTTCTGATGGTTTGGTTTTAGTGTTTTACTGGTTGAAGTGAGAAGATGAGCAGTGAGTGGAGCAAATGGAGAGAATCAATTAAAGGGAAGTATCCAATTCCTCAACTTCTCAATTATGAACTATCCTCTCTCTCAAGTCTTTATACTGCCACAGAAGTTTATCGCTTGCATTATTGTATTAAAGTAAGAGGAAATCAATGGGATACAGAGTACGATGTAAAGGTAATCTTTCAGTGTAGAATTCTTTGGCAAAAAAGTATTTACTTTGCAACGGTATGGTATATACTGGCATTACCCTTTAATCATTCCACTATTATTCGTCTTTTATGTAAACGTTAAAAGAGAAATTTTTCTTCCATGCACAATGGAAACTTCTACATGGATGATTGAACATCAATTGTTCCCATTCCTGCCTACGTTCTTTAAGTGAAAAGCTTCTTTATTTTGATATTAATACTCCATTCATCCAGCGAAATTAAAGTTAATGACTTTTATTTTGAGACGAGAAAAATATTAACTGTCCTATTTAAGGTCTACTATTGATATGTACTATGGTGTATTATGGGGCGTAGTCATTGTGTGGGGAATCTAGATAGGGGGCGAAGTGGGGGCATTAGAGTGACATTTTGTCAAAGCCAGCATTAAAGCGTTTCAATTCCCTCAAAACTCCTTGAGATGTTGCACTTGCACCACCAGAGAAAAGAAGGGTTAGTAAACGCCCTCATCTACGCCAAATTGCCAATTGGTAGCCACCAACCAAAACTGGATGGTGGCCTGCTATGGTCTACCAAATGACCGTTGAAAGTCAAACCCACCAAACCTAATAAAATACTCCCTCCGTTCCATAATTATTGTCCAATTTAAATTTTCATTTTTAGTTTAAATTGTACTAAAAGTGAAATCTCAAAGTGAACAATAATTTTGGGACAGAGGGAGTAAATAAATGCAATTTACCAAGTAAATAAATTGACGTTTAATGCAATGGCTGCATTTAATAATTTTTTTATGGAGACGAGTGATTCTTTTACTCCCTCGGTCCCAAAATCTCGCCCTATTTTTTCAAGGTAAAACTCGTTCTATTCGTTTTACTATTGATAAGTACCAAAAGATTAGACAATATATAATTTTTTAAATAGAGAAAGAACTTGCACAAAATGCTAGACACTAATTGTACCTTACTAAGAAGATAGATAACGCTCACTAATATCTAACATCCCAAAGATGATAGGTTAAAGTAAATTTTAACCATATTAATCGGCGTCTTGAGGATACAAAAGATAACCAACAATGTGGTTACTACTCACTATACTACTAAGATTAAATGATTGTCCCAACTCCCAAGTCCAACCGGAATAAATATTAGACTCCACGAATAGGTTATTCGGGCCTAGAGAATATCCAAAGTCCACAAATAATACACAAAATTATAATTGGGCCCCCCAATTGAAGACGTCCACATGAGCCCGCTTAGAATTTTCTAACATTTACTCAAACGACTTCCTTCACGAGATGAATATCATAATAAAATAAGCATTTATTAATTCAAAATAAATGTAATAATCCCCAGAATTCTTCTCCGAAAACAGGCGACAAGATTCAGTTTTGAAGATCGGACACAGTAATTTCGATCTTAATAAACAAACAGGTCTGATTCTGTAGAAAATAGATACATTAGGTAGGTAGAATAATGGGGCAGGGAGCTAATTTGCGCCGGGGATTAGTCCTTCTGTCACTGTTACTTGTGTTCGGCTTATCGGAGATGGTCGGAGCCGTGTGGTTAAACTTACCGCCGTCGGGTACCAAGTGTGTTTCCGAGGAAATCCACAACAACGTCGTTGTTTTGGCCGATTACGTCGTAATTTCCGATGATCATTCCCATCCGACCCCAACTATTTCCACTAAGGTATGGATTTGTTTGCTTTTTAGGGTTTCAATTTATAATTACTGTCAGAATCTGTATGCTCAAATATTCCTCTTGATTACTGATTTTGTTTCCTACTATGATTTCGTTGAGTAAAGTTTGTCTAAAAGTCTCAAATTCTGGAAATCAATAAGATAGAGCTAGCAGCTGTAATTTGTAAGAATTGTATCTAGGACCCCTTTTTTGTTTGTTTGATTGGGCAGAAGTGTCTTTAGCTTTCCAGCATGATTTCGGTTGGTCCGGAAGCAGAGATTTTGCTCCTGCTAATTATGCAGTTAGAAAGTTTTTCCGTAGTCCCTATATGATGATGTTATAGGGTACTTATAAGGTAGGGAAAAATTAAAAGGAAACAATTCCTTACATTTGTTTTTTTTATGAGTCTTTGCAAGAGTGAAACAAGTATTATTGTGATAGAATGATAAGGTTCAGAATTTGCCTTCTCAGGACTTTAACTCAACAATCAACATAAAATACAGAGCCTTGAATTGACTCGTTAATGGCATACCAATAGCTTGAGTCTTGTGTGTAACTTGAGATTTACTGGGTTTGATTTACGAACTACAGGGTGAGTTATGATTTGTTTGATTGGAATGTGTAAAATGCCCAGGTTTTTGGTTTAAGTTGTTGACTTTGAGGAGGGTGATTAGCATTCAAGAAATTAATGGAAACGCAGAGTTGTTGGTATTAAGAAGTAACCTGTTACAGAATGGTGTTTTACAACATTATGTACACCTTTTAATTTAGTTTTGGACTTTTGGTGCAACAATGACATTGATAATTCTTTGTTGCAACTGGTGTGATGGAACAGAAAAAGGCTCTGGAAAAGTTTGTGTTGCTTTGGTTTGTGTTTGTAGGCCATGATTCAAAGTTGTAGTGTTCATCACTTCTTTTTACCTTTGAAGTTTTATTTCATGCAAGAACTTAAGTTGCTGACTGGGAACCATTCCCTGGTTTAAGTCTCCTGGTTCGCTTGGAGTTGTATTTTCGTAGAATGTTCGACAAGATGGACTACCTGCTTCTTATCGTAAATAAAAGCTGGATGTATTATTGCAGGTCACGTCACCATACGGTAACACTCTTCATCAGAAGGAAAATGTTACACACGGGCAATTTGCATTTACAACTACAGAAGCTGGAAACTATCTAGCTTGCTTTTGGCTTGATAGCCATAATACAGTAACCGGGGATGTAAGTATCAACATTGATTGGAAGACTGGAATAGCAGCCAAGGATTGGGACTCTGTTGCCAGGAAGGAAAAAATTGAGGTGATTGATGGATCTTTATTTCAAAAACCCTTAGTCTGCGTATTCCATGCATTTTACTTATTTTTGTGCATTAACTCGATTACTGTTGTGTCTCAATGAAATTTTGAGTTCTGATATTATCATCAATACTCGACAAAACCAAGCTAATGGATGGTTGCATTATGAGCTCCTTCTTGTATGAGCATTGACAAAAATCCTCTTGTATTAAAGGTTATATATTTTCTTCTTGTTGTTTTGCAGTAATTCTTTTTTACTGAAAAGGTGGCAAGAACTAACGTACGCTGATCATGTATGACTGTTTTATTCATTTGAACTTATTTAATGAAATGAGGGTTCTTTCAATCACTCGACGGTAGTTGTGCTTGCTAAATGGTGTGTGTTGTGGTATCATCAAAGGTTTGCTGAGGAATTACACTTGAATTGGAAATTGGGTTTTGTTTGTTGGGGTTTTGAGGATGTAATATTCTTAGAGCTTTTATGTAGGACCTTTATGCATCTAATTTTTTTAATTTAGCTGGTAATAGATAAAATTACTGTGTAAATGGTAAGACTAGTTGGCGCAGAACCTATTTCATGTGTAAAATACTTCTTTTTTGTTTGGTGCAGGGTGTTGAGCTTGAGCTGAGAAAACTTGAAGGAGCAGTTGAGGCCATCCATGAAAATTTATTATATTTGAAGGGCAGGTAAGTAGTGGGCATTTAGTTGTAAATGCAGCATTTCATTATCTTGGTGGTTCAACTAAATACGGCCTCCATTGCCTTAGTTTATTGTTCTTTTTCGGGTGACTGATTGTTTTGGACCATTCTACCAGAGAAGCAGAGATGCGATCGGTGAGTGAAACGACAAATGCAAGGGTGGCCTGGTTCAGTTTAATGTCCCTAGGCGTCTGCATTTTGGTGTCTGTGGCACAGATATTTTATTTGAAGCAGTTTTTCCAGAAGAAGAAGCTGATATAGGCTTTTATTAGTTGAATCAGATTTTCACTCCCCAGATTAGCAAATGATTTTTAACCTTTTTTCTCCTTTTGTATTTTCTTCTTTTTAAATTTATCCCGGTTAAGTAGAGCAAAATTTTGGGATTGGTATTTGGTCCTAGATCATCCAGTTGTTACTTTAAGAGTGAAAAGTTGTTCATACTGATACTACTTGATTAGAATTTTTCTTCATTAACTCCCTCTTATTACTCATACAATAAGTTTTTTGAAAAAATGAAAAGATGAAATGTGGATGTACTCTCTACTCTGATCTGATGCATGTCAAAATAGTTTATTTGGATTCTGGTTCCGCAACAATCCTATCACCTATACTATCAGTATCACCAGGTTAAAGAGGTGAAAACCGGAACGAGTAATGATTCAAGTTCAAGCAAGGGATGTACTTAGAGGATTAGACGAGTTTAGAGGTTTTACAACGCCCGACTAGTGTTACTTATATAGTGTCTTGTATGAGTTCAGGTAGTGGCCTTGTCCATGTCTCTAAGTTTTCAAAGAAACTAAAGGAAGCTTGTTTAAAATAAGGGATATTTTAGGTCAAGTTCAATAAGAACTCAGTCGATGACGAGTGAATCGAATTATTGCTCCAAGTTTTTAGCCATACTTGCTAACCATGCTATTTGCTTCATGGTAGAAATGTTTCTCTATGTCCAGACTTTAATGTCACTTAAAGCTTGGGAACATCTCATGCCTTGAATGAACATTACAGGTTGTTACTTTCTGGTATGTAAGACTGATTACAAAAACAAAGCCAAGTAAAAATTCTGTAACAAATTATGACTTCTGAGGAAAATACAAAAATGAGCCCCTAGTGTTCTGAGGAAAAATGTTATTTGCAGCTTAGGAAAAAGAAAAAAAGAATGACAATTTTCTGAAGTACAAAATTACTGCATTATACAAATCCTCCGGTTCATGAAACAGAATTTGCAGACCTCATCAAAAAAATCATCTGCACTGCTGTGGCTGCTCTTCATATGAAGAATCCTTACCGTCATCTTCTTCAAGTTCCTTGAATATTTCAATAAGGATTCCAATGTATTCATCTTCTGTTCAGCGTTCAATGGCGACCTGATAGTTATCACAAGTTTCTCCAGGCAAGGAATCAAAAAGCTTCCATCAAGCTGTGAAATGAGAGAAAAGAATCTTGTCAAACATTTTGGGGGCTTGAAAGCAGTAGAAGGAAAAACAAAACACACTTTAAGAAAGTTCATACTAACATTTTTCAGGCTGTTCTTTTGGCAAAGAGCAGCAAACATGGCACCGTGTATCTCAAATGTACGAAGCTTTGGGTGGCTATTGAAAAACTCAACCAAATCAACCTCCGGAAAGGGCAAGAGAGAATCAAAATCGCCCGAAAATTCCACCTTCATGTATAGGTGCTTCACCTCAGATGCCAAGTGAAGCATTGTACTGATAGCTTGCCAGCACCATTGAACTCCCCTCATGGTCAAGGACTCAAGAGCTGTGAGTTTGCCGAAATCCACAATATATACTCGACCTGGAAGGACGAAAGAACATGGTCAACACATTTGCAGTCTCAAATTCATTATAAGAGTTTAATTCCAGAATAACTTTGCTGGAAAAAGGATCGGCTGAAAATCACATGGCATATACCTAAATTGTTAGCAATGGTGAGATCTCTTAAGCATTGGGTCTCTCTAACTTTGATCCAACTGCAGCCCTGTACTTCAAGCAGCTCAAGCCAAGGAGAAGTGATAGAAAGGGAGCAGTTGCCCTGACCATAAAAGTCAAGTTTGCATTGTCGGAGGAAAGGCAATTCAATTAAGACGGATCCCAATCCCTCACAACCAAGAAGAGATAGACTTGTCAAATAGGGGCAAGCCCTAAGTGCAGAATATAGTGCAGCATCATCCATCTTTGCCCCAACTATTTCAAGATTTTTGAGCCTGTGGAACATGTCCCATTTGGGAGAATGAACCATTGAGACTCCCCAAAGCCTCAATGACTCCAAATTTGGTGCAGCCCTAATGCAGTCCATTTTGGAAGGCACCAAAGTGTTCTTGCATGACTGGTTTTCAACTATATTATCCATTCGTAGCTCAAGGTTACGAAGAAATGGTCCCTGTTTCTGCAGCCAATAAGCAAGGCCATAGCTGGTAAAAGGACAATAGACAACTAGTTCTTCCAACCGCTCAATTGAAGACACCATTGTGGAGATAATTCCATCTGGGGTTTCCCCACACTTGAGATTGTCAAAAACGTTCCGAGGAAAGAAAAGGCTCTGAACATAGGGCACTGAGTCCTTCCATCGTTTGGAAACATAAGCACAACTCGCCACATCTTTGGCATTGTTAATGTGAGATAGGATGAATTGAAGGATGCAATCAGGCAAGGAGTCCATTTCTCTGAAGGCAACAATCAAACAGTTGATATTCAATTATGCGTCCAAAGAATGTGTAACAAGAAATCCAGGAAGTAATGGAAACTAGATTCAAAGGCAATGTATCTTGATTAAAGATGATTAATTTGTGCAATTCAACGAACATCAAGTACATTTGCAGCTGATAAACATACTCCATCAACGAAAGCGATTTTGTAATTATACTGCCTGAAAATGTACTCACTTCTCCTGGGTTTTAGGCTGAACAGAAAATATAGATTGCAATGCCTTCAACCTGCATAATAATTCATCACTAAGTACATACATATTCAAACATATAGATATCTACATTGCAAAGGTCCCTTCTGATTAATACACGCCCAGCAAATTAAGAAAAGGCAAAACAGGTTAATCCGACAACCGATTATCGGAACATAATCAATGTATACACATTTAAATGCTGTAAAAATGCAAGATTTATGAAAAACCCAATAGCTTAAAAAGTTAATTCTAGGATTAATCGATGTGAAACACTTGCAACAAGATAGAACCCACAAAAAAATATCAATCTTTCAACACAGGGACGGATAATATCCCTAATCGAAATGCAATTAGATTCCAAGTTCCCACATAAATTTTCAATAACACAAATTATAATTCATTAAAATACTCAAGAAGAAGCTATAACTAAAAAAAAAAGGAGCTTACGATTTGGATTTGAGCGGAAGAACTCGTGAACGATACAGCTAAGATCGAATCTCTCCGACCCAATTCAATCTAGTAGAGAAAAAAAAAATTAGTTGTGTGGGATATGACTTGTGAGATGGAGGAATGCTACTACTGTATAAAGAGCACAGAAGAAAAGAAGTAAAAGGAATAGAGGGGGTAAACAGGCGCGGGCTTAAAAAAGAGTAGAGAGAGAGGGAGGGAGAAGGAGGCACCGGCGGGGTGGGGGCAATTCGAAATTTCAATTTTCAAAAAGAGTGTGTGTGTGCGTGTTTTATTTTGAGAGGGATTTTTTGGCCCCGAATTTTTTCCTATTTTTAAAGTGCGAGCCAACTGAATCGAGCCCCTCCGGTCAGTCCGCTATATAATGTAAACTAAATTTTGAATCCAAATCTGATGAAATGAGAATCTCGCACCCCTTAAAAAAGGCCCGCCTTGTTTTCGAACTCTTTTGAAATTTTTTTGACCGTTTTCACGGCTCGCTGGTTCTCTCTCTCTCTCGTCTCGAGTCAGTACTCGGTCTAACCTTAACTAGACAGTTTAACTCCACAGTTCAAACTCGAACGGTAAGATCTCCTTTCTCTTTCTTGGCAAGTAATAATTCTCTTATTGTTTCTTTATTACTTCGTCTTGAATTATCAAACTGTACTAGCATTAACAAAAAAAATTTAAGATGAACACTAAAATGCATAGTGAGTGAGTTGAAAAGAAAAATAAATAAATTTATGAATGCAATACTCTTTTTTTTTTTAATATAATATGGTTCACGACTCCACTTACACTCTTTTCTTATTCTCGAATATTCGATATAATATATTTCAGATGACAAGGATTTTAGAGACATAATAATTACTATCGCCTTATTTTTCAATTAAATGCTAAATTTGAATCAGACATAATACATAAAATCGACTATGCATTCATCTCTACTTGCATCTGTTAAATAAGTTAAACCCTAATGTGTAATGAATATTATCAGGCGAACGATAATTAAAAATAAAAATGGACTCAAAGTGGATCTGATCCCAACTTTGTACGATAGAGTTGGTTACGACTGGTTTGGCGAGAATAATAGTTGTTGATCCATCTTCTATACTAGAGTGATCACTTGTAAATTAATACTTCTTCCGCTCTAAAATAAGTATCATTTTAGTAAAATAGAGAAATTATAAAATAAGTGTCATTTTCAGTTCTCAAATTTCAATACACTTTTTATCCAAAATTTCTAAAATTACTTTTAAAAGAACAAAATATAAGATGACACTTTTTGGAATGGAAGGAGTATTTTAATTTTTAATGTTATGAAACTTTGTCATCTTGGATCCCTTTCAAACGCTACAGCTATTGGTAACATCATAACCAGATTAACGATAGACCGGGCTGTACACAAAGTTGTTCCCTGTCTTTTTGTATTGGAAAATGATTGTATTATGTTGATTTTTAGATCTTTTGGGCAGATATAGAGATCAAATCCCGCATTTTTGCAAAGCTACTAATCAAATCTAGGTATTCTCTAAGCTGTGAGTTTTTTCACTTAAATGATTACTTTATTTTTCGATTTTATTTATAAGATACAAATTTAAATTAGATTATGCGTTATAACTTTGATGCGAGGGAAATTTTTCTAGAAATGCCAAGTCATTTCTGCTTATATGTGTTTTTAACCTCAAATCTAAGATATTATCATAGGAAACATCACAGATCATTTGGAACTGGCAAGGACACAAATAAATGTTCGTAATTATCGTAAATAGCTTTAACGTTGTAGTTCAATTTATTTCTTTTATCTTTACAAATTGGACTTCTTATTCAAATGCATTTAATTTACTTCAACTCTCCATTTGAGAAATAAAACTAGAAACGTCTCAACCCTTAAAAAAGAATTCGAAACTTTGTTAAGACAGTCAATTTAATATTTTCATGTCATAAACTTAATATGAACTATTTTTTTAGACAAAGAAATATAGAAGATGATTACAATCAACGATTACTTATGTATTTAAAAATTACTGTACGTAAACATGTATTTGGTCATTTTTTAGGTAAAGCTGTATCAAACATTTTAAAATAAAGATCTAAACATGTTTCATTCACCAAAAATGAAGATTCAAGCACGTTCCATTCACAAAAAATTGTATTTCCTCATCCTTTGACGAACAAAGCAGAGAATACATATATATTTTTCGCTTATTAAGCATACACCCTTTGGTTCTTATTATAAGATAAGTTTAATTTATCATATTTTTTCAAGTGAAAATAAAATATTAAAAATACTTACAAATATTAGGACAACACAATGAATGTAAAAATATATTTGTAAGATTTTATTTTCAATCGGAAAAAAGAAAAAAAAAACAATAAATGAAGTTTAGAGGAGAACATTTGGGCCATACTGGAACTCAGAAAGTCGATTAGCATTTTTTATTTTTTTTAAAAATTAAAAATGTAAAACCCTGCGCCTTCGCTAAAACGGAAAAGTTGATTGCCACTCCGGTGGATACAGTATTCAATTCAGAGCTTCAAATTCATGTAAGATAACCTTCTTCGTTCATCACTCTCTTTTCCTTTTCCGCTTCTTTGTTTTCTTCCCTTTGTTTAATCTGTCAGGTTTTCTGTTTCTGTGATAAATTAAAGGTTTTTTTTTTTAAAAAAAAAAAATTGATTTGCTTCCGATTCTCTTAATGGGTTGAATTTTTCAATATGTTATTTGTTGATGATCCCTGGCTTGGAAATTGGAGTATTTCTTTTTGGTTCTTCTTGAGAGAGGAAAAACGAAAATAATGAAACACTCATCAAGTTAATTAGTTTAAGATTGAATTGGGGAGCAATTATATAAATGCTAATAAAATGACGATTTGATTGTTGATTTCTTTCTGGGTTGGAGCTACCATTGACATCGATTGAGCTGGACTTTCTTTTTCTTCTTCTTTTTTTTTTTAGTTTAATTTCTCGGCTGCTTCTTTCGTATGTTATTTACTCAAATTTCTGGATGCATTTTATCATTGTGATATTGGATTTGGCAATCAATGATGCTTCTTTCATCCTAGGTATGAAGGAAGCAGATTAATCCTCAATCATCACAGCCAAGTGATATCCTGTCAGAAACAGTGAATTAGTGTAATTAGCTATTATTGGGTTCAGTCTACATCTGTTACCTTTCTTCATCCAATCGGTTCCTAGAATCAATTTTCTACGGAACTTTATACTCAGAGTCATTGGTTGTTTGCTGAGTTTGTAAAGTTCTTGTATCGTATGCTTGTATGATTTTATCGATTGTGTACAGTGTTTCCGACCAGTAGCAAGTAAAGCATATGACTAAACTGTGTTCTGGTGCATAAGGTTTTGGATGTTTATTTCTCATTTCTATGGAAAGTATAGAATGGAAATGAGGTAGATTTGGTCTAGTTGGAACTTGGATGCAAAGCAGCCAGATGCATATTGCTCTCATTATGCCATTACGAGTTCTGCTAACAAGTCTCTTGTGTGTCATTACAGACTACCAGCTACGCCTAGTCGATCTTATGTGGAGTAGTGTTCTGAAGGATTTGCATTCTGCAGCTTCCTGTTTCCACAATTTATTATGCAAGAGCAACGGCAATAGTAATAAAATCACTCCTGGATTTTCATTTCGCAGAAGATATCACAGCAATATCCGCTGGGATCCTAGTTTATTTCCTCATCGCTTCAAACGATGGCAAGATCTAAGGAAGCATAAGTTAACTGCTAGTACTTTCAGCAGTGCTATTGGTTTGTGGCCTCGGAGAAGAGTTCAACTTTGGTTGGAGAAGATTGGGGCCATAGAACCATTTTCTGGTAATGAGGCTACTGGTTGGAACAATTCTATGGAAGAGGAAGCTCTTGAAAGATATAAGCTAATAACTGGAAATAGTGTACATTTTCCAGCTTTACAGGTTTATAAAAAGACCAACCCAGAAGATGATTGGCTTGCTGCTTCTCCAGATGGAGTGATTGACAGTTTTTTATACGACTTGCCTTCTAGAGGAGTTTTAGAGATTAAATGCCCTTACTTTGATGGTGAAATGAAAAAGGCTTGCCCCTGGGGACGAATACCACTTCACTACATCCCGCAGGCTCAAGGTTTAATGGAAATACTTGACCGGGATTGGATGGACATGTATGTATGGACTCCTGTGGGCAGTAGTCACTTCCGGTTGTGGCGAAATGAAGAATACTGGGATCTTCTCAAGATTGCGTTGGCTGATTTTTGGTGGAAACACGTCCACCCAGCACGGGAGGTGTATGAGAACTCCAAGTTACCAGATCCTTTTTCCCATGCAAAATCCTTCATTCCGGCACCAAGACACGAGTTACATCAGTATTTAGTTCATGCTAGTAAACTGATTGTGGAATGCTCTGAGTTACGAATGCGCGAGTTTGGCGGAATACTAGTAGATTAATTCACATTTGAGTCTAGATTAAAGGCAGTTTGGGTCTATTCTGATCTAGTTAAGAGAGGAGTATTGCTGCCAGAGTTTTGAAGATGATAAATGGATTCAAGGGAGACTGAAAGCAGTTTTTTTTTTTTTTTTTTGGATCGACAGATTTAGTGGCTCAATCTCCATTGCAAATGGAAATGTTGACATGTTTATCAGCGCTTCAACAAGCTTCCAATTATGGAATCAAAAGGGTTAAACTTCACACAGATTGTGAATTTTTAACAACTCATCTAAGGGATGAACAAATCCCGATTGAGGTGCAAGAAACTTCCCCTCTATTAATTTCGATTATAGATACGTTTGACTATTGTGAACGGATTAAAGTTGATAGGTCGGATGTATTAGAAGTACATAATATAGCTTATCATAGGATGCAAGGTAATAATCCAGTAACATTATTCTAATCTGATACAGATATCCTTTTCCAAAAAAAAAAAAAAGCAGCTTTTTTTCGTTTTTTCCTTTTAGATGACTAATGAGCTGAAGCTGACGCTGTTAGAATGGCAGGGTTCACAGTTTACAAATGGTTAGCGAGATAGAGAATACTTTGATGTTCTCAACTCGAGCATTATGCATATATCCAAGATTTATATTGTATATACAATATTGTTTTCAGTAATTGGATGGAAGTCTCTTGCATTTTTGTACACCCAGGACAATCATTTGGAAACAAAAAGAGCACAAGGCTGAGGCAGAGTTCTTGGATGGAAAGTTGCAACTTGGAAAGGGTAAAACAAGATTAACTGGAAAAAGAAAAAGAATAATAAAAAATTCCATACCTTCATCATTGATGTATTAGAAGATATTTTTAGATGACGTTGAATGGTGATGATGAGGTTGAGCATCATATGGGGAATTAGGTTGAATAAAGTTTTAAAAATTGAATATGACAGTGAATGGAACTAACCCCAACTAAAGGATTCTCTGCAAATGGTTTGTATAATGCAATTGATATGATTGTTTTTGGACGGAAATTTAAAAGCAACAAACATATGGAACCGTAAGCTTAGGCGTGGGATGTAACCTTCTGAGCCTCCGCTTTGCATTTTGTTTCCGTCTTTAGTTTAATTCTTGCACACAACGCTTCTTTTAATTGAAAATTAGAATTTTTCTTTAATATTAGGGTTTTTTTTTTAATTTTTTTTTATTGTAAGAGGTAGAAGGAATCAAGTGGGAAACAATTGTGGTTTCGGCCGGACGAAAAGTATTCACAGCTTCCGGTTGACGACGACGGCAAAGGCAGGAGGTTCAACAACGAGAAGCAGCTCACCCACCTCCTGTCTTCCTCCAGGTTTTTCTTTCTGGGTCCTTGTGGGTTGATGATTACTATTTGCCTTGCTCATTTTATCTTTCAATGATTTACTGCAGATTTTTGGATCTGATTCCTTGTTTTGTTTTAGAATTGGGTGCGTTTTCAGTTTTTAATTTTGTGGGTTTCAAAGGGTTTTGTTAGATTTGTGAGTTTTAGTCTTACCTTTCGTGTTTGAGCCTTTGCCTTGATGGATCAGAAATTTTTTTTTATGCAATTTTCGTTCTTTCTTCTTTTTGGTCTTTATATATGAAACATTGAATTGCCTTCTAAGGTGATAACATGTTTGTCCGCTTGCAGTTTGGCAAATGTGTAATAAGATTGGCTAAGTTGGGTAAATTTTTCCCGAACAAGTTCAAATGCAGTCCTACTGGTATAACTTGGGAAACATCGCTGGTGAGTTGGCAAATGTGCATTGGGAAACATCGCTGGTGAGTCACCATGAAGTCGTGATTCTGTCCTGAATGAGAAGCCTTTGATTCAATTGCTAAAACATTTGAATGAGCATCAAACTCTTCCAATGCTGAGAGATAAGGCATTTACACTGCTAAACTTCTGTCGGGGGAAACCAGGACCTCCATTCGAGCAGGTTAGCCGTATTATCAAATAATTTGCCCTCCCTTTTTTCTCTCCTTTTAATGCTAATAATGTATAATCAAATTTTTTCCCCTTGTTTATGTCCTTTTAATGCCAATCATGAGCTTCAATTAATCAGGTGTGTCATGCCCTTCCAGCTCTTCAGCTACTTATTTATTTTAATGACAAGGATGTGTTAACATATGCATGCTGGGCTCTGTCTTATCTCTCTAATGGTATAACCAAGGAAATCCAAGCTGTGATTGAGGCCGGTGTCTGTCCACGACTTGTGGAGTTACTTGCGTAGGTTTCACTTGATCATCTTTGGTTTTTCTGTCCTCAGTTGATTTCTGATATGAAAACAAATTATATAATCTTTTCAGACATCCATCACCTTCGGTGGTGATTCCCGCACTCCGCACTCTCAGGAATATTGCGAGAGGAGATGATTGTCAGAGACAGGTTTGTTCAATCCACATCACATAATTTTGCATTTTAAAGTTTGAGCAACTTCGGCATACTGTATGTGGATGATAGGATAGAATATTTCCTGAATTTTAATTGCTCGCGAACTTGTCAAACAAATCTAATCTTTCTAAGTTTGTTTAGGAAAATATGGTGTCTGATATTGCTGTTTTTATTTCTTTGATATATGGTATTAATGGTAAGTGTTTTGTATTTCAGTGTATAATTGAACATGGGGCGCTTTCTTCTTTGCCAAGTCTGCTTCTTCATTGATGTAATATAACCATCAAAAAAGAAGCCTGCTTGACAGAGACCTATTACTGCTGGGAATAAGAAGCAGAATGAGGTCTGATCTTTTCGGTTTTCTTTTTTTTTTTATTTTATTTTATAATTTTCCCTTTTTCTGTAGTCGACTGGTTTACGTTAAAAGTTTTGTTTAAACAGTTCTTTGACGGCTATTCTTTGGATTTACAGGCATTGGTTGATGCTAAGTTGATTAAATCTTTAACGTCTCTGATAAAAGATGAGAAGTCTGATATAAAGGAAGAAGCTAGACAGGCTGTTTTGAATATTATTTCTGGTGGATCTCGTAACGATTTTTTCATTGTTTGTCTTTTCTGGATTACTAACTTATAAATGTTTTGAACATTGATAAAAAGGTTTGTTTTTTTTTTTACTTTGGGTAATGGTGTACAGGGATATTTGTTTAGAGGACCTTTTAATGCAACTATGTGACCTTTTAAAAAATTGATACATCATATGTCCACATAGAGATAGAGGTGTAGACATCTAAAGCTTAGTTAAATTACATTATCACTACAGAAAATGCCCTAGACTTAGTACACCATCATAAGAGAGCACTGAATCAACCTTGACACACTCCTCAGGAAATGGCTAAAGCCCGAAATCTTTCTTGGCATATTAAAGAATTTAGTGCACGAATAATTACATGGTGGCCAGAAACTAATATCTAAAAGATTAAACTAGTGATTAAACTGAATTCAGTAACTAATTACAACAAAAGCCCTAAGTGTAACCATAAATATCAGAACTGTATCTAAAAGATTAAGCTAGTGATTAAATTCGTTCACAGTACAAAATTGCACTCAATATCAAAGGTTACTCGAAGAAGTTAAAAACCATAGAGAGAAATTCACAAAAGCAAAACAGAACTATATCCAAAGACTGAACCCACGAACTCAGCCTTCATACTACTACATGGGGCGGGTTTTCTGAATTACATCTCACCATTAAGCTCAGACAAAACAGATATATTAATTCAGGTTCACATATAGAAAGAGAGCTGCATGCTTCTCTGTACAAATTTCTATTTGTAAACATAGATAAAAAGCAAATAAAGAGACGTATTACTGTGGCTGTAAACCCAATATCACTAGAAAGATAAAGAAAAATAAATTCTAATTTTTTTTAAAAAAAAGATGAAAATCATCAAACCCATGAAAGAAAAACAAGAAAAAGAGTCATTACCTTTCAGATTTGAAAGAAATCGAAGCTCCCAATACGTCCACAATAAATTATGGAATTGAAGTTTCAAATTCATCTAAATTTTTCCAGATCAGCTATGGAATTTAAGACCCTTTGCTGTTAACTTCCGAAAATTAATCGATTTACTAAGAAAGATGCACAATAATTTCAGATTTGGAGTGAGAGAGACGTTTGCTTTGAGCTCTCCATGATGGCGGCGTGAATGGGCAGAAGTGAGAAGGGCTACGTGTTTCTCTTTGTATAGTTAACATGAGTATTGATAGACATAGGCATAATAGAGAACTCTTCTCTCCTCATAGACATAGGCATAGTCTTCGTGGTCATCAGTATCGTCATCATCCTCCCATCCCTCATCCTTTACAAAATAATCATCAATATCATCATCATCGTCGTCATCGTCGTCGAGCAAGCAAGGTTTCCTTTCTGCTGGAATCACGCACTAGAGGAGCTTCGAAGCTAAGATAATACATAGTTTCACGAGATTCAGGGCAAACAGCCACGTTCTTCACCTCCATCCCATCATACATATATTTCTGCAACCAAAAGAGTAATCAAACAAAGACAAGAGTATTAATCGGAACGAATCCACAGGTACACTAGAAGGGGTAGATATAGGTAGCTTAGAGTACCTGCTCATGTATGTAATTGTAAAATTCAATGCATTTCTCAATTATCCAATTGATTTTGACTTGATCATCGTCTTCATAAGGTACGATAGGTGCATCCCTAGGAGCCCAAACAATGCCAGAACCCAGGAGCAAATCCCAATTACCAGTAATAACATTAACATAAGCCGGGAAAAAAAAGAAGAAACCCTTAACCAATCAAATTAAACTAACCTGGGTGTCATGCATCATCTCGTAGTACTTTATCCAATCTTCCTCCACCGGGGAACGCGCATCCCTTCCTGATTTGGATTTCACGGCCTTGGCTGGTGGTTTGGACTTAGATGAAACCACCGCCGTGGCGGCAGCCGCCTTCAGAGCGGCAGCCTTTCGGGCTGATTTGGACTTTACGGGAGCTGGTTTCAGGGTGGCAGCCTTCCTGGCGATGGCTGCCTTAACGGCGGATGCCTTCTTGGCGGTGGCTGCGTCAGCGGCGGCGGATGCCTACTCGGCGGTGGCTGCCTTAACGGCTGCTGCCCCCTTGGCGGCTATTGCGTCTTTGGCGGCGCCTGTCTTCTCGGCGGCTGCCTCCTTGGCTGCTGCCTTAGCGCCTGCTGCCTCCCTGGAGGTTGCGGCGGCTGCCTCCTTGGCGTCTGCCAGCTCATTTGACGATAACTCCTTTTTCTGGGAATTAATTGCCGATAACCTAATCGCATTTGCCTCGGCGAGTTTCGCATTGAAGGCTGTGTCCTCTTCGGCTGCTGCTGTCACGGCTGCAAGATTATCGGCTGCTTCCGCCGCTCCTATCTTAGCAGCGGCAGCTGCTGTTGTGAAGTGTTCTTCGGCTGAGATCGACGAAATGGGCGATGATGATGTTGAAGGAATTAAATCAATTGATAATTTCCTCATGGCTGGTTCGTAGCGGTTGACGCCAGAACAGCCTCTGGACCCTGGTGCGTTCATCCTATCGGGCCAAAAAAGGGGTTCATCGATCGGATCAGGGGTGGATCGTTAACTCTTCTTATCCACTGATGAAATTGGGCACGGCCAGCCGTCGTCCGGCGGTAGTTGGTGGAGGTCCGGCAGCACCAACAGGTAATTTAGTGGTGTTAAATAAGGGTGTTTATTTTTCAAGCTACCAAGATTACTACTTGAAACCACCACTTTTAAATTTGGATCATTTTACCCTTGTCATTTTTTCAAATCAAATAACTTGATTAAAATAACTCGAATAATAAATTATTCATAAATTTAATGACCTAAAAACTAGATTAACTAATTACAAAAAAAAGTTAAAATTTTAAAATTTTTTAAAAAATTGAAAATTAAAAAAAAAAAACCGACTGACCGAGCGGTTCACCCGTCCCGAGTTAACCTGGGACGGGCAAGGAACTCGTCCACTTGTTCACCCGAACGAGTTCCTTGCTCGTCCCAGGTTAACTCGTAATTATTAAGTCATAATTACAAAAAATCTATGTATTTTAAATTCCGACAAATATTATATCTATTCATTCAATACACTATTGAGTCATGTTGACAAAATCACTCATTTAAAAATATATTTAACTTTATGCTCCCTCCATTCCAAAAAATAGATGTTGTTGGAGAAAACTCTCTTTTTTCTTTTCTTTTTTTCAAAATACATGCCAACTTCGCATTTAAAGGCATGTTACCCATTTTTTCTAACATTGTCCTTTTTATGGGAATTTATATTTGTATTTAAAGTAGAAGGATATTAGAACTAAATAATATTAAAAATAAAATTACATTGAGAGTAAATGAGAATAATTTAGTATTTTAACCAAATATTTATTATTTTTTTGTACTTTGTATAATTCCTCTAACGATATTTATTTTGAAATGAAGGAATTACAATATAACAAGTCACATCATGGCAAAGGGAATTATAAAAAAAAATGAGAGAGAGAATTATAAAACCGGGCGATGCTTCATGTCTGTATAGCCCAATATATCAAAGAGAATTATTAAAAAAAAGTTTTAATTTTTAAAACTTTAAAAAAAAGGAGAAGACTAGATAAAACTCGAGAAAAAAAATTATGCTGTATGAGGCACAAAATTTCAAAATCTAAATTATGGGTCAATGGTTGAAATTGTTCTTTAGAATATAATTTGTGTAGATATTTTTATCAAAGTCCAGTTATGGTATGCATAATCAAGGTTTGAATTTGAACCTGAAGTAAACTGGAATCGGACCAGAGGTTTACTTACTGCTAGAACCGGACCGTAGATGATGGTTCCCAAATCAGAACATGAAAAAAAACCATAAATCGGCAGTTTAAAACCATCATAAACTACTAATTATTTGTCAGTTTCAACTAAAATTATATCATATTATTATATTTTGTATATTTGTTTATTGCATTTGACACTTCAGGTGCATATATATATACTCCCTCTATCTCAAAATTATTGTCCAGTTTAAGATTTCATTTTTATTAGAATTTGAACTAGAAATAAAAACTCAAATTGGACAATAATTATGTGACGAAGGGAATAATACATTTAAACGATTGCAAATTGTAAACATATTAGGTAGATATGTATATTTATTTCATCACCTCATCTTATATTTCTTATTGAACATTTAATAAATTAATCCTTTTTAATTATACTAATTAGACTTGTCGATAGTGAGAGTATCAATAATGTAGCAATAGCCAATTTTTCATTTTTTTTTTTTGAAACTTTTTATCATATAAAAAATCTAAATAAAACCACATAAATCATTCTCCAACAAAAAGCTGGAACCAGTGGCTCCTTGTGAACCCTTTTAAACCGGTGGTCATGCCTAAATTATACTCTCTCTGTCCCAAAATTATTATCCAATTTGAGATTTCTTTTTTAGTTCAAATTATGGGACGGAGGGAATAGAAGTTTTATTATAAAATGCCACTCACTGTTTGTAGTAAACCGGCGATCCGGTTCAAATGAAAACATGAACCGGTCAACTGGTCATGCCTAGACGGTGGTATACTTCGGGTGAATTGACGCGCGCTCTAAGAAGTGTTAACTGTGAAGGCGGGGGTGTTGGCAATTCATAAAGTGCAGGCTGGTTTCACTAAAATGGACTCTGTAGAAAACTGAATCCCTCTCTGTTCTATCGTTTTGTAACAATTTTGTTCCTAACTCACAATCACACTCACTTTGCGACTACGAACCCCAGGAAAATGGATGGCTACGAGATCGTAAAGATAGTTGGCGAGGGAATTTACGGCAAAGTTTACGAAGCACAAAAGAGGGCTACTGGCGAAACTGTGGCTATCAGAGAGACCCGATTTCACGAGAATGAAGATGGTGTTCGCCAACTTTACATCCTCCAATCGATCTGCAGAGGCCGCTATGTCGTCAGGTACTCAGGTTTCATTAACCCCAATTTTTATGTCAAATAATTGAACTATTCTCTGTTCTTGATGTTAATTTGGAACGGATTCTGGTGGCGCTTTGGAATCTTCCGGGAATTGCTAAAATATAGTATTTGTTCTGGTTCTTGTTTAGTTAATTAATGCTCGTCATTCATGAATTCTTGAAGCGATTGACTCTGTTTTTGAGGTTTGTAAGTTTTTTTTTTTTTTTTTTTTTTTGGCTCTGATTTGGTGGTTTTGGTTGAATTCTCTTTGGCATTTCATCATACAGACTGTTGGATGTTAAACGAGGCGAGATTAAGGAAAGCAGAACTTTTCTTTTCTTGGTTTTTGAGTACATGCCGAAACACCTCAGCACATTCATGGGTGGGTTCAAAAGAAATATTATTCCTCCTGGAAAAATCAAGGTACCTGTGTATGCTTACAGCTTGCTGGTTTTCGATTACTCTCTTTTAGTTGCATTTTTGTTGGATTTCGGTTCAGAGATCTATTCAATAACATGCCTTTTGCTAATCAATATTTTTTTTTCCCCTTTTCTGTAGACCTTGATGTATCTGCTCTGTAAGGGAGTGGCTTTCTGCCATGGCCATGGAGTTCTACACAGGTAGATTTGACAGTCATTGTAAAGTTAATTTTAAAAAGGATCATGATTTTTTTTTTAGGGGGGCACTGTTAAGATATTGAACCAAGAACTGTATGATGTAGAAACTTGAAGCCTTCCAATCTCTTGATGGATGACCAAGGAGAGAAGCTTAAAATTGCTGATATTGGCCTTGCCACGGACACCGTGCGCATCAAAGACAGACTTTTGGTAGTTCAAGCTCATCTCTTTCAGTTATCATTCTTAAAAATAATTCATGATGAACCGGGCAAGTTTCTTGATGTTTCTTGATTAAATGCATATGATGCTGCATTTTCAGGACTTAAAAACCCTCTGGTACACTGCGCCTGAAGTTCTATTGGGTTATCCCCGCGACACCACAGCTATGGACATGTGGTCTGTGGCTTGCATATTTGGTACGATTAATTAGCTTGTTACTCTCTTTTGTGCAATAAATTTCTCCAGTTTTGAGCTTTAACATTGTATTACACTGATCCTAAACTCTGTTTTCTTACATAAAAATTAGCTGAACTTGTAAGAAAAGAAGTCCTTTTCAAGGGGAAAACCAAGCATTCACAACTGAATGAGATCTTCAGGTTACTGTTTTACTAATCTCCCTCACTTGGTCGTCGTCTTCTCCATTTGGGTGTGACTGATTGTTAATTACTGTTTCTCATCCTGGTTGGTTTAGAATTTTGGGAACTCCCAATGAAGATGTATGGCCTGGGGTGAGTTCATTACCAGACTGGCAGGAGTTTCCTCGGTTCAAGCTTCAGTCACTCAAATCAGCTGTTCCTAATCTGGGTCAGGATGGGCTGCACCTTTTAACCGTAAGTTTGAGAAGTATTGGAATCACTTTTATAAGTCAGTTGGCAGAAACATCAAATGTGATAGTAAATTGGGAGAACTTCATTCCATATTTTGCAGGCAATGCTAAAATATGTGCCATCAGAAAGGATCTCAGCTGACGACGCGTTGAAGCATTGGTATTTTAACGATCTGGACAAGTCGAAGCTTGCTTAATCTCAAAAGCTCATATATTGTACAGTTTTAAAAGGGCTCGGATGATATTATGATATCCACCAGTAGTTGTGTTGCATTTACTTTTCTTTAGCATCTTTCCATGTTGATGATATTTGGTAGTTTTTCGAACTTTTATTAGAGTGGTGATATATATAGAGAGGAAAACTTACAAGAAAAACTTAAAAGGAATGATTTGTGTCAATCATCTAACCTATGACCTAACATTAAATACTTAAACTCTAAATGGAAGGAAAAATTGGCCGATCTACCCTAACCTTTACATGCGTTGTCAATTCTACTCTATTCTTTTTCGATTAGCCAATATTACCCTAAGTTATTCAACCATTAGCCGATTTTGTCCAATTTGCCAATTTCTGTTTAAATTAACAGATTTTCTTTCTGTTAGTTTTAAATACAAAAATATCCTAATAGTTTCAAAAATTATAAAAATGACCTTAAAAATTTATAAAAATAACAAAACAATCTCTTTTCACTTTTTATTTAATTTTTTCTGCTTTCTATTTCTTTTTACTATTTTTCATAACTATAAAAATATACTATATGATCTTTTAGAATAAAATTTTATGTTTAAACAATACTGCACAAATTTATAGATATACATATTTGTAATTCGTGGTTGATTTACATAAACATATTAATTTTTTTAATACTATGGCTAGAAAATAATGATATTAGTTTTCTAATATATATTTTTTTCAATTTAAAGAATAAGATTTTTTTTTACTAAAACTAATTTTTTTACAGAAAATTAAAAAATTTAGTATAGATTAAAAAATAATCGACCAAATTTTCTCTTTCATGAGAGTAGATGTAAGATTAAGTCTCACCAAAGGATTTCTAACCGGGAGAGTGATTTTATCCATATTTAAGAGGAGTCCACTAAAGGCGAGAGAGTTAGATGGTCATGTGATTTAGGATGTGAGATAAAATTACTGTTTTCGATGTCTCGATTCTCAATGGGACAATCTATTTTTTTTTTTTTAAAAAGGTGGAGTCCAGTACTGGAATAGATTTTCTTTATATTATTTTTTTCTTAAAAAAAAAGACTTTCTGCTAAAGTTAGATATATTAATATCTCAAAAAATTATCGCAAAATGTTAAACCCTCGCAATGATAAATATAAAAATTTTTTTATAAAATATTTTGTACCGTTTTTGTAAATGCCATAACACTATATTCTTGTGTTGAGCCAATGTAGAAATGAAATAGGTGTTTTTTTTTTAATTTCTTTTCGTACTTGGCCTTTTACAGAAAAATTTATATTTTAGTTTTAATTATTTTTTAAATTTTATGATACAATCTAAAGTCTGTTGAATTAAATTGTAATACATTAAAGTATACCAATAACTTTTTTTTTAATCTATGCTAAATATGTTATTTTTTTGTGCAAAATTAGTTTTAGTTAAATAATCTTATTCTTTGTTGAAAAAAATGGATTAAAAAAATAATATCATTACCGTTAAATCATATTATTAAAAAAAATAATATGTTTGTGTAAATTTAACATGACTTACAAATATCAAATTATAAATTTGTACATTAGAGTTTAAAAATAAATAGTTTTTTTTAAAGGTCATATAGTACTATATTTTATAGTTATGAAAATATTAAAAAGAAATAAAAAACAAAAAAAATTAAACAAAAACTGAAAAGAGACTGTTTTATTATTTTTGTAAATTTTTTGGGTCATTTTTATAATTTTTAAAATTATTAAGATATTTTTATAAATAAAACAAATAGAATTCCGTTAATTTAAACGGAAAAGAGCAAATTGGATAAAATCGGTTAACGGTTGGATAGCTTAGGATAATATTGACTAATAAAAAAGGAATATGATAGATTAGCCAATTTTTCCAAGTACCAGGTAACCTTCTCAGCCTCGGCTTTGCAATCAATCAAAATCCTAATTCTTGCACTAAACGCTTTAATGCTGCTCTTTTAATTGAAAATTTGAAATTTCCTTTAATTTTTGGTTTTTTCTTTTCCTGGTAGAAGGAATCAAGTGGGAAACAATGGTGGACGTCGAGGAGGGACGGCAAATGCAGGAGGATCAATAACGAAAAGCAGCTCACCTTGTTCAGCCTATCCCCGCTCCTGTTTTCCAGAAGGTGTTTTTCCCCCACTCTCGGTCCTCGTGGGACGCACCTTGCTGTGGGTGATTGCTTTTGTCTTGCCCATTTATCATAACTATGATTTACTACGAATTGTTGGATCTGGTTGCTTGTTTTGTTTTAGATTTTGGTGAGTTTTCAGTTTTTAATTTTGTGGGTTTGAAAGGGTTTTGTTTAATCTTTTTCCCCTTGTTTTTGTAGATTATGGATTGTGTGTTTTCTTTCTTTTTCCTCCTGTGATCATGAATTCTTGTTTTGTGGTATTAAATATGTTTTGTTGGTTATATTTATCTGGCTTTCTATGTCTAGTTGCTTTTGTTGGTTGTGATCGTGGGAGATTGATGCCTTGACATTGGTGGTTAATTGGGTGATTTCTCAGTTTTATTCTTCCCTTCGGAGTTCGCCTTGTGGAGCAATTTTCTTATTTTTATTTTTACTTTTTTGGTCTTTATGAAACATTGAGTTGTCTTTTAATGTGATAAAATGTTTGTGCAATTGCAGTTTGATAAATGTGTGGTAAGATTGGCTAAGTTGAGTAATTTCCCAAAGAAGTTCAAGTGCAATCCTACCGGTATAATTTTTACCTACTTCCCCATTCTGTTATTGTGATCACCCACTGTATGATGAAATCCTATATTTACAGTAACAATAAGCCGCGAAATGGTACACCCTTAGTTGATGTGTTATCAAGGGATGATGTTCCAGAGCTCCAGGTTTGATTTGATGTCACATCTGTTGATTTTCATTACAATTGTTCTGTGACTAGAATTGTCTGACTTTATTTTCATGTTTGACTAGTTTGAAGCTGCCCTGGCTTTGGCAATTATTGCATCTGGGACTTCTGAAAATACTAAACTGGCGATAGATGAGGGTGCTGTGCCTGTTTTTATTAAGCTCCTGGGTTCTCCTCGTAATGATGTTCACCAGATGGTCAGTTTTTCCTGAAGGCCCTATTTGCTTTTGCATATATGGGGCTGAGAGCTCTGACATTTAATTTTTTATTTCTTTATTTTTTTAATGGAGGTTTAGAATTAGTTTGATTGAATGTTTTATTGATGGCTAGGCTGTATGCGCTTTGGGTAACATTGCGGGTGACTCACCAAGTAGTCGTGATTCTGTCCTAAAAGAAAAGGCTTTGATCCAATTGCTAAAACATATGAATGAGCGTCAAACTCTTCCAATGCTGAGAGATACGACATTTACGCTGTTAAACTTCTGTCGGGGAAAACCTGGACCTCCATTCGAGCAGGTTAGCTGTATAATCAAATAATTCCCACCCCTCCCTTTTTCCTCTCTTTTTAATGCTAATAATGAGGTTCTATTCCTTCCATTGGAGCAGATTACCTGCATAATTAAACTAATTCCCCCTTGTCTATCTCCTTTAATGCTAACAATGAGGTTCAATTGTTCAGGTGTGTCATGCCCTTCCAGCTCTTCACCTACTTATTTATTTTAATGACGAGGATGTGTTAACATATGCATGCTGGGCTCTGTCATATCTCTCTGATGGGACAACCAAGGAAATCCAAGCTGTAATTGAGGCCGGTGTCTGTCCACGACTTGTGGAGTTACTTTCGTAGGTTTCTCTTGATTATCTTTGGTTTTTCTTTCCTCAGTTGATTTCTGATGTGAAAACAAATTGTAATCTTTCAGACATCCATCGCCTTTGGTGCTGATTCCTGCACTCCGCACTCTCAGAAATATTGCAAGAGGAGATGATTGTCAGAGACAGGTTTGTTCAATCCACACATCACATTATTTTGCATTTAAAGTTTGAGCTCAGTGGGTAAACTGTATGTGAATGACGGGATAGAATATTTCCTAAATTTTAATTGCTTGCAAAATGAACAGATCTAATCTTTCTAAGTTTGTTTAGGAAAATATGGTCTCCGATATTGCTGTTTTTTATTTGCCTACTCATTCATCTGTTTTTATTTCATTTCTACGCCCCCCATCCCCCGCCACCAGTTGGTAAGAATTTAAAGGTGGCAAAATCTAAAATATATGGAATTAATGGTAAGTGTTTTGTATTTCAGTGTATAATTGAACATAGGATGCTTCCTTCTTTGCAAAGTCTGCTTCTTTATGGATGTAATATAACCATCAAAAAAGAAGCCTGCTTGACAGTCTCTGCTATTACTGCTGGGAATAAGAAGCAGAATGAGGTGTGATCTTTTTTTTTTTGGTTTTGTTTTCCCTTTTCCTGTAGTCAACTGGTTTATGTTTAAAGTTTTGTTTAAGCAGTTAACTGGGTTTTGTTGAAAGTTTTGTTTAATCAGTTCTTTGACGCCTATTCTTTGGATTTACAGGCATTGGTTGATGCTAAGTTGATTGAACCTTTAATGTCTCTGCTAAAAGATGAGCAGTCTGATATAAAGGAAGAAGCTGTACAGACTGTTTTAAATGTTATCTCTGGTGGAACTCGTAACGGAAAGTATGTTTTCATCATTTGTCGCTTCTGGATTTCTAACTTCTAATGTTTTGAACATTGATCTAAAGGTTTGTTTTTTTATTTTGGGTCATGGTGTGCAGGGTTTTTGGTTTAGAGGGCTTGTTAATGCAACTATGTGATCTTCTCGGGTGCTCTGATTCTAGGATCGTTACCTTTTGTCTAGACGGGCTTAAAACCTTGTGTACGCCGGCCCGTGAAACGGGAGCAAGGGGCTACAACTGCTTTGCCATGTCGATTTTTGAATCCAAAGGCTATAATCAGATCAAGGAATTGATGAGCGACCCAGATCGTGGAATCAGTGAAAAGGCATCGAATCTGTATGAGATGTTATCTAACGAGGAAAAAAAAGTACGAAAACTCATCGATGATGGAGTCCCCATTGATGGAGACTTGTTTGTTTGACATGTAATTTGATCCTAATAAATTAGTCGTGGAGTTTTTGTCCTTGTACCAGTGTTGTAGTTTGTAGTTTGTACCTAAGACGATGTTATTTACTTCTGGGCGATGTTATCATGAGTTAGTGGTTAACTAGATTGACTTCTGGATGATGTTACTATGATGAAATAGGTTGCCAGATTCTGCCCGTTGTATTGGAATAGAATTTTTGGAACAAAATACGAAAATCCATTAAATTCTGGAATAAACGCTTGTAAAATTTTTTTGGGTGTTGTTTTAGCTTGATGCCTACACTTCTCTCTTTAGAAAATCCCATAATTGTCAATGCACTGCCCTTCGTATAGCATCAAATCAAGGTCAAAAGCAAATATTACTAATTTTTTCTTGCCGGGAGGTGTGAAATGAGAAAACGCACACAATCTGGTTTCTCAGGTCCATTTTGCAATTTTCATCGGGGTCTTCCGTGGTGATTGGCATTCTGGATCTCATGCTTTTTATAAGAGTGCATACGATGGAGTTCGAATTTCGAAATGGCTCTTGCTTCGGGTTTCTATCTATTGAAGCAGTACATGTATTTTTTCTATGCACTAATAGTATGAGATTTCAGCTTAAATTTCTGTGATTAATTGCATGGTGAGTTGCGAGATTGCGATGACCTCTTTTCATTTTGTGGGGAAAGAGATCAAAATGTCAGATGGCTAAACCAAATTACGTGCAAAGAGCAAGCGAAGAAAAAAATGAGGAAAAGGCCATCAACGTTCATGAGAAATTACTGTAGAGCAAAAATTTGGAAGAGAAAAGATTCACCAAACAAACAAACAAACAAAAATTAGTAGTTCAACTACGCATCATAAGTGGTGAAGACTGAAGAGGCTGGGTACTCCTTGGTGCTCTCCTAATAATGGTCCAACTAATTAGTGCCAAAGCTTGAGATCCTTACGGTACTTGTTATCCAGCTGACACCAAAAAAGTGCACACGGCTTATCTGGCTTCCAACCTGATAAGAGTTTCTCTTAGGTCTCCCAGTAGACCACCCTTCTCTCGTCGTAGACAAAGACATAGTCGTTGTCATCATCATCGTCGTTGTAGTACTCCACCTCCTCCTCCTCCTCATCATCATTATCATACTCCTGCTTCTCAAACTAATCATCAAAATCATCGCTGTCGTCGTCGTCGTCGTCATCATCATGAAAGCCACAACAAGCAAATGGAGGAATATCCTCAAGACCAGGGACAACAACAGAGTACTGCGCTAGAAAGGTTTCCTTTCTGCTGGAATCAACAACTAGAGGAGCTTTGAAGCTAAGATAATACATGGTTTTATTGGAATTCTACTTCAAGAATAGTGGACAACAATGGCTGCACTAGATCAAAGAACAAGAGGAAGAATTTATAGTTAGGATAAAAGAAAGTTTTGTCTCCAACTCACAAATAAACTTGCTTTCAGCTAAATTCGCCCATTATACAGTGCAATTATCTAGGCGAATTTCCTATGAGATAAAATGGAGATCATATTGTTTCACTATGCACTTTAGTGAACCAACAATCTGATACAAGGATAAGAAATGTCATTGGAAATATTTTAAGTATTTGGTGATCTCATAGTACACTAAAAGTATCCAAATGATCCATATTTATAGAGTTATAGGAAACTCTTGAGGATTATACGTAACCCTTGGTTATGGTTTTAGACATAACTTTTCGTTAATGTCTTTTCATATGGAGTCCATAGGCACAACCTATTAATTATGTCTCTACAATATATTGAAAACAACTAATAGACACAACATATTAATTGTGTCCCTACAATATATTGAAAATAACTCCAACAATCCCCCGACATTTTCAATATATTGAAAATGATTTTTAAATGGATCCAGAATAATTCCAGTAAAACCCATGCGTAAAATAATGGTGTCGTTAGATTTGAACCACTACCTTAGTGTTGGTTTCATAACCCGGTAGACTAGCTTTGAACGGTGCGTACATGTTACAAGCCACTATTGTCAACAGACATAAGTTTCTTTCTCCTCAACTTACCTGCACCTTACCAGTGCTTGTGGTACTTAAGGTCTTGTACCCATATCTCTTCATGAATGTTAACAAAGTTAAGTCTCAAGCTTTGTGGATGCCCAGTCTGACATTCATATAGACAAACTTCTTAATGTCCCCGCCATTTTGGCATTTACAAGAGTTTGTTAAGAGCTAATTCTCAACCCGATACCCAGCGGGAAATATATAGCACTAACTACTTTGGGATAAATATTGTAGTGCTCAATTACTTGTACATTGTACTATTGCTCATTGAATTCAAGACTAACGCATTCACACGAGTCTGTTGACTCAAATCTTGTCAAGAATGTTAGTTTTCAATATGAGTTCATTAATTCATCTTGTGATCACAATTTAAATAATAGTGCATGCAAACTGTTAACTACTATGATCATATTTAGGAAATTGAAGAACCAATTTGTTCTTTCAAACTTTGCAATCAACCCAACAATGAAATCATCTTCTTTATTATGAAGTTTTGAAATCACTATGTCATTATTTCTTTCTTCATATATTGGAAAAATTTGCTCCATTTCTCTTGTTACAGGAATTTTACACTTGAGCTCATAGTGCCATTCCTTGTTACAATATGATAGTTTTCCTATTACCTTATTCATTGTTATCTAGGGTGGTATGACTTCAAACACGGACATCATGTTTTCCATTTTTCACAATGTGGACTTAGGTCAAGAATTATTCTCCTTTTCCTTCAACTTTAATAGAGAATTCTTTTATTCTCTTTTAAATTTTGAGAATTCTTACATTCTCTTTAAACTCTTTCACTCTATATGAAGAGTTCCAAGTATTCCAAAT